ATCGCCATCTGAAAGCAATTTATAATAGACTTTTTTATAGTTTGACATGTGATTTCATACATGTATTTGTTTAATGATCCAACTATATTTCAAGACTGATAAAAGGAAATTTGATCGTTTCATAGGAAATCAAATATTTTTATTGGCTTTCATAGTCTGTTTTGTTTAAATTTTAAATTCCAATCAACAAATTAAATGTATTCATTTGCATGACTAGCTGAATCATTATAGTTAATTTTAACAAATTCTAAAATTGATTTTTAACCATGCAGTAAAAAATATCTCGTCACCTATACAATTGAAAATTGGAAATTCCGAAAAATACCGTAAACTAAAATTAAAACAGAGAACCATGAAATTAAACTTGAAACTTTTTCTTCGAAGACAGGTCGACAATATTTCCTCAATATTCGAGTTGTACGACTACAGTCAAAGTGCTGCTACATGTACTTTGAAATCCTGCACTTTTTTTTTTAATCTTTTTTTTTTATAATTTTGACTTTTTTTTTTACGTCAGGCATATACTCTTCTGTTAGGTAAACTATTGTAAGATTAATAAGTTTCATCAGCCATGGATTTGGTATAGGCATGGTTTAGATACTTTTTTTTATTGCAAATTCAGTTTATCAACTATGTTATTGTACTAAAATTAAAACCCCTTTAATTAGACAAATATGATCCAAACGAATTAGCTATTTTGTGAAGAACACATTATGTTTGATAAGTTGCACTGTGCTACCTAAGCTTATAGTCTCCAGTTTATCAAATAAGGTTATTTAAGGTGTCATGCGCACTGCAATCAATAATCCATTCGTATATTACATTTTATATGTCATAAAATATAGGTGAGCTTTTAAGAGACTTTTTGATTTATCATTTTGTAGTCATTTCAAAATTGAAAAAGGAATAGAAATCATTCAATAGTCATCAGGATTGTTAAATGTACCATTGTAGTATGTTATCTCTTTTTCATGTTTAAGCAGATGTTAAAATGTCACAACAATAATACTGTTATGCGTACATAATGTTATTTAACAGGTGAAAAAGTCATAAAATTTACAAGCAGTAAACATTTAAAAAAAATAATCTTGAACTCTTTCGTCTTTCGTTCTATCTTGCAATAGGTCATCAACCAACCACACGAAGAGTTATTTAAACATCCTTTTATAAGCGGACTAAGTGACACCTTTTCAAACACATATAATCGGTACACGACTGCAGTATGAACAGTAAATCTAAAAGTCCTCAATTCTATTGGATGTTCTGCGTATATCACGTGCAACAAAATTTTAGAGATTGTACCCAATAGCAAGTGCATTATTGCTGAACGGAAGTAGGCAAATCATAGTGTATGTCCCAATAACCACTTAGGATTGTGGGACGAGGAAGCGTTCAATAAAACAAGTTACCGGAGAGTGAAGACAGATAGAATAAAAAATCCTTGTTAGCACAAAAACAAGCCAATCTCAGATGTTAAATAGATAGAAAAAAAAACCAATGAAACACGTTCATGGTGAAATGAACCAAAAATATACTCGAGATGATAAAGGGGGAGGGTTGAGATTATTAACAAAACACTCTTTAACCCGAACTATGTGTCCATGTGCCAGTTCCAAGTCATCAGGAATCTAGTCAGTTGTTATTTTAAGTCATATCTTATTATTTTAATGATCTGGTGGACATTTTGTTAACGGCAGATCTTCGGTCTCAGTTAAATTCACAAGTGTTCACAACTGTTTAGGCTAGGGGTTACTACGAACATGACATATAGTATGTATACTTGTATGTTGCTGGAGTCTGTATACTGACCTTTAAATTTAGGTAATTTATTTGAGATGCTGCATGATCGACTTATACCCCACTTCTTCTAATACTCATATGAGAAAGAGAGGAACCTAAAATAGCGCTTATAGAACAAAAAGATCTACTGTAGACGTTTTGAACAAGAACACCGAACATGCTTATATCAGTCATTATGGAAATTGAGAAGAAACATAAACAAAACGCTTGGGAGGCAAAAAATAAAAAAAACACGCTTATAAATAATTAAGGTTTCGTGTTGCTCATTATCAGTTTTCCATGTTGTGTTTTGTGTACTGTTGTTTGTCTTTTGGTCTTTTTCTTTTTTAGCTATAGCCATGGCGTTGTCAGTTTATTTCGACTTATGAGTTTGAATGTCCCTTCGCTATCTTTCGCTTTTTTTAAATACCATCTGCTGTGACCTTGAAACTAAGGTCATCGTCAAAATGATATTTTATAAGATAAAGAAGTTTTAAAATTTGAGGAAGAATAAACAGGTGCCCGTGAAACACTATACGTGACCATTATTGACGTAGATGACCAAGATATTGACATTTCTGTAGATAAACCATGACTTTCTATGTTCAATAACCTGCATGATCTTCATCTATATAAAGATAAATTCAATCATTTGATAGTTGTAAAAAGCTATAAAAAAGTTTTAAAAGTATTTAACAAGCTAACAAGTCTCCATTGATTAATTTGATATACCATTATTACGTGACATTTATGAATCATGTTGACAGGTAATTATTGATGGAGTAATATTAAAATCAATAATGATCGAAATTTAATTTCTTCCTAGAACGCATTATCAAATGTTTTCTTTGAAATGTTAAGCTATATTATATAGCACATCATATTGTATTTCAATTAACACTACCTATCTTAGGAACTTTACACTTAAGGTACTCTTATAGGCAATTATTTTGTGTATTGGAAGACAAACATCCAAGTGATCAAATTTAGTTACAACTCTCCTTCCCACTTTGCCTAGTATGTATTTGTATTACTTAGCAATGTTTGCTTGCTTTGAATAGGCAGGAAATATTTGCCACTGGACATTAATCAACAATCATCACATATGTTGAATTTAAGTCAAATTGAGATATTTTTAATGTAAACATTCTTATATGTATATGTACGCCGCAATAAAATTATACATGATAAAAATAACTTCTAGGATTGAATATTACTTTGGATATATTTTCTTAATTAATCGTTATGTTTACACTTAAAAATATATATATAAATATAGATATATAAAGTTAGATAAATGTTACTGGAGGACCTGTGTTGGATAGGTAACGAAAGAAGAATTCTGAAAAATTATATCATGTTCAGGAGGGGTATTTGCGAAAATACAAGTCGCGCGAATGTTTTTTTTTTCTTCTCAAGACTGGTATTTTTCTTAAATACACCTCCTGAACATGAGATATACGTTTACTTACACAGAATATCAGTCGAGATTATTATGTTAAAAACACAAATTATTATTCCCCTATATTTCTTTATATCTATACGTTAGCACAAACAGTCGCATATAAATAAAAAAACAGCGCACAAATAGTCAATCGTCTCTGTTGAAAAGGCATAAACGTTTTGCCAAATATCACTACAGGCAGGATACAAAGAGATACCCTCATGCATATACCCCGGCGGTAATCAAATATGAACGACATTCATTCGATAAAACAAAATACATGGAAAACATACTGACTTTATGTTTACATCTGTTTTGATGCGAGCAACACTGACGAGTCTTGTGTAAACCCGCGTCTGGCGTCCTATCTTATAAGCATGCTATCTTTGGTAAGTTTTTTTCTAAACCTATAAAAAACAAAATCCTTATCGAAGGTTTAATAATGAAAAACAATCCATGAAAAGATCTGAAATTAAACTATTAAGAATTCCTTAAATAAATGTTTTATTGAAGCAGTCTATATGCTCTTCACCAACTAAATAAGCATTCACATATCTATTTTCTTATTTTTACAGCATTGTGCAGCAGTAGTTTGATTTCACTAACAGCAACGCCATTGATACAAACATTTACCTCACATCCAGGCTATGATGGACATACACGATATCCTGACGGGTAAGTAATACACATTTATGTTTTAAATACATGCCTTGTACATAAGTTTATGATTAGTTTGTTAAGTACTTTATTTAAACATGAAAAATGATTTCTTGTATACAATTGCACAAAACGGAAGATATTAATAAACATGTAGTACAATGTATGTGTCTTCCAGTTTCTTGTCAAATGATGATTTACTTTATGTTATACATCTCGATAGAAAGGTCGACTACAATAGTCTTCTACACTAGACGATATTATCAAAATGCAAAAAGTTTAAGTCGACAACATATTTGCTAAGTTTTGTAGGGTTGACACACAAGTAAACTGTCGGTATACTAATGGGTACTTAGAGTGCATCTCTTCAGACTGACTTGTTGTACTTATATGAAGTTGACTAATACAAAACCTTCTCAAAAACAGAATTAAAATCGCCTTGCCTAGTTTTTTAAAATCAGTTTCAAATGTATGGATGGTTTCATGTCAGTCAATAAGTAAACCCTCAATTCAGTAAGTGCTTCTATCTCACATATCCAAGTGAACTTGACATTAGGGATACTATATAATTTAGAAGGTTTGCTTCATATTTGGGTCTTATAATCACATGGTATTAACATTTTCGCAATTTATAGATTATATGCGTGCATGTTCATATTATACGACTTCATTAATAGTAACAGGGGTATGCTCCAGAAGCCAAATCGCTCCAACAGGGTTATGAGGAAGAACGAGCACTCACTCATACAAAGAGTTGTTGCAACTGATTTAACTTTCTCATTCTGACCGTCCTTTTCTGCGTATTTATTCGCAGTCATAGGGGCGCCTCCCTCTAGCAACAGATTTTCTGGCGGATAGGAGAAGTCAAGAGGACCTTATTTCTGTGCCTTTGTCAATCCTTTGGATTGATTTTTTTCCAGTGTAGGCTTTTACCGGAATCATTTGGCCAAGTTTAATATGTTCATTATATAAACTGTTATTAAACTACATCGCATTGGACATTTTAGTCCTTTTGCATTCCAGATATCAAAATATCAATTTGCGTCTTTTTCTTGCCAAACAAAAAGAAGAAAAAATACAATTAATTTAATTATAATTCCTTTCTTTGTTTGTAGGAACTATACACAGGACTGGTATATAACAACAAACTGGATTAACCACACCATAAAAATACACTTTGATACTTGCTTCATAGAAAATTCTAAAGATGTATGTTTGTTTGATTACCTTTACGTGTATGATGGTAAGTATTTGATACAGGATAAATTTGTATTTACTTATACATTTAGATCATATTAACATTAAAACAGTAATTTTTATAAACTTCCTTTTTAGCTAAAAATGATGGTAATAAACTATGTTCTTTACTGTAGTTCAAAATAACAGCATTTTTAATGTCTTTATTAATTAAATAATGTATAATACTGCATGAAAACAACCCCAAAGATCCTGATTCATGCGCTCGATTTTAAGATAGATACTTGAGTTGAAAATGAGGATGTTTGACCGGGAAATATATCTCTGGATTTTCCATCTGAAAGGTGTGGGTAAAAACTCTCAAATTTTTTAATCAGAAGTTTTAAAAAGTCATTCTATGATTGCTAGGCAAAAATTTAATGGCATAGTATTAGTAAATCCCAGTTGGACTAAAAAAAAAGATATTGTCCATGGATATTGATTTAGTGATTTCCGACCAGTGTCAGATATTACATGCATACCAGTACTGTGATATCAATATGAACCCTATCCTGGATTTTTTGCGTGTTAGTTCATAAGGTAGCAATCCACAGAATAAAATTTTAGCCGGACAAATTATTTACAATTAGAGGCGACCAGTTTTTGCCTATACTTCAAATCTCTGGTGTGTCCCGGTGGTTTCAAAAACTCAATGAACAAAGGAGGTGGTATGATTAAAGCCATTATCCCCCACCCCCCAAATAGTTAAATTATCTAAGACTTTGAAATTATGTATGTTAATTTTATTGATAAATGAACATATTGATATAATCTGGACACCTTGTACAGAAAGGGTGCATGTGATGTGACTATGACGCCATTAACATTGAAAATCACATATTTGTAAAAAAAAAAAGACAAAATTTATCATTTTACGCATAGTTTTTTGACGAAATAGATATGGACCAAGGCTTGGCCTATAAAGATAATTCAAATACGTTAACATGTTTATAGTAAAACACACCTAGAGAAAAACGTTTGTTTGGTTGAAGCCTTGGCTCACATCTACATGTACATAAGATGAACCGATCCAAAAATGAGGCTTTTCGGCATTTTTGAAGTTATGCGATAAATCTAAGTAATTAATAAAGTTTCAATAATTAGAGCAAATGTAATTTCAAGAAAACATTCATCAATATACTAATGTCTTATGTACATCATTCTGCTTGATACATAATACTTCATGATTTTCAAATTCAAGGAGCCTAAACATTGGCCTTATTATACCTCCTATCACAACCAACAGCCTGTGAAATAGTTCAGAAAATTAAATATGTTTGTGCTATAATATTATTTATAGATAAGTACATTTCCTATGGTTTACAATAAGTCAACTAGCAATTTGGAGACCAAAAGGACAAAAATGTGAACAATTATAGGTCGCCGTGCAGCATATCTATAGTAAGCTATTATAATAGGCCCTAGGATAACAAAACGTGAAACAGTTCAAAATAAAAACCAACGACCTGATTGTACTACAATAACATATGACAAACAATTTGTGAGGACAGTAACCAAAGACAGCAACTGTATTACAGGTCCGTGCCTTTGAACAGGCGTATAAATAAATATGATTGTAATCGCTCGTCGCTCCCTTAACAGGGACAGTCGTGAAACAGCAAAACATACGAAAAAACTGTAATAATCAGGTATACAAGGTTTGACTTATCAGTTCGGCACGAATCAAAAAAGCTATGTTTGTGTGTTGTATAGTTTAAATATACCATAGTAACGTTACGCACGCTGTTCCTACAACCCCTAGGATTTAAAACAGAATCTTCGAAATTTCCTCCGCAAAACAAAATAAAAATGTTAGCAAACACGAACCACTATGAAAACAAATTCAGTATATGTTTTAAATTATGTTTTTATAGCTCTTGATCATATACTAAGTAATATCTAGTATATTTGAGGATTTAAATAACAAAGCTATGTGAAAAAAAACGGATGTCCAACGTTACATTTATGAAAAACTGTTTTAACTCTTATATATAGTGATCCTATTTCTTATTCTCTGATCTTCCTGAAACTTGGCAGGAACAAAGACATGTGTCGGTTCTCTGTGGCGTTAAAGCCGTTATTTTGCCAAATTTCATTTGACTTGGTGGCTGCATATTAAGCTTGAATAAGAAAAATGTCCAACGACGTTTTTCGTTAACTCAACGACTGAAAGTGAATTTTATAAGTAGATATAGCAGAAAATAAATAAAAAGAGTAACACAATAATAACATCTATCAAAAGTACAAATATTTGCCTCATTGTTCGTGAGTTCAAATATTGCAGATTCTATAAAATCTTCTCTACACAGTCGTTTTTCAAGCGGTAGCCATTTTGTCCAAGTTGATATTTCATTTTTCAAAGCAGTTAACGCGTATTTTTTAACTGATATTTCAATAAGTTATTTATAATTGATCAAAACAAAATTTAGATACACGAAGAGTACAAAATGCCAAGATTCTTTTCTTATTAACTACATGTTTGGGTTTTAAAGGAATAAAATGCTTCCACACATTACAAAACGGTAGCCAATTTGTCCAAACGTCTGAAAACGTCGAAAAATCCGAAAAACGCTAATTTCCGACGTTACATGTGCTAAAGTTTCAAATAAATGCTCATGATAATTAAAACAAATCGTGTGGTGAAATTTAGAAAAAGATGATGATGGCTGCCGAAAAAAAAAGAATATTGCATGTTGCTATAGACTCCGGCCGGGGACATAGATTCGACACGGGTTAACTTTTGCAATTTTCATTAATCGTTTATAGCTTTTAACGATTTATTTAAAAGAAAGGTGAAATGGAAAAAAAATCACATTACATGAACGAATACATGAACTTCGTTCAACTTTTGCAAAGACAAATTGGAGACACCAAGACCGTTCTCTAAATGTAAAATGCGAATTTTAATTTATGTTACGGAAGTACTCCGAAATAGATCATTTAAAGTCGTCACTTTAGTAAGGTGCATTCACCAATATTAAAAGACTTAATACAAGTCCACGGAATGTTTTACTTCGCGATTTGTCCTGCTATTCATGTTATAACTGTCGCGATGAAAGTAATTCCTGCACTAGCGAAGCCGGAACTTTTCGCAAATATAAACTTGTGCATGAAATGGAGGTAATTGAAAGACAAACAGCGACGAAAACCGTGTCATTGAATTAATAAAACCCGGGATTGTAATATTTTTTTTACGGACGATCCAGGAGTAGATTACTATATTCAAAATGTATATCAGAAGTTAAAAAATTTAAGCAAGCAACTTTAGATGACTTGGGAAATAATTCTCAAGCCAAGGTTCAAGTAATTGAAGCGGTGTATTTCGACAAATTATGTGCCAGGGAAAATACAATTCTATTCAAATTAACCAAGGGTAAAAATGTTTCGATTTACTTGTAGAGTATCAGATATATTTGCATTTGGGTTGAATTAAGATATAGAAATTTTAAAATGACAGATGATTTGCACCATGAAATTAAACATCCTATGATAAAAGTTTTGTACATCTAAAAAAAAATTATTTATTTATGGAAAACCGTATACAAGTACTTCCGTCCCAGTTTTCCTTCCTACATTACTTGCGACAGTACTGCATTTTTCGGCGAAATAACTTAAAGGGTAAACATTAGTAAATCAATTTCCACAACTTGAGGTAATTTATGATGAAATGACATCACAAAAAGAACAGAACCAGAATCAACCAACAACATATAAAAAAACGAATAAAACTTGCAAAAATTAATCAAAGTCAAAAACTCTCTTTGACGCTGCATTTTTAGTGTAACGTGTTGTAGGAACATCGTGCACAACGTTAGTGTACCTCGTTGTGTAAAGAAGGTTTCTAAAGTTAAAGCCTGTTCCCAAATCTAAATCAATATATTTTGAATACAATAGTGTTTCTACTAACAATAACAAAATCATTCTTGATCTCCACTTGAAGATATGTAATCCTTTTTTCTTTGAAATTAAAGTGCTCTTTTATCTATTTCTAAGAAATAAAGGTGCAGGGGCGTATGTCAATGTTACAGCAATCGAAATCACGAAGAAATGAAATGATAGCGTACTCTATGTTATAGGTTTTGATTACGTTGACCATTAGGGAATATTTGTGGTATGGATTAAGTTGCACTAGTCGTAACCACAATCTTTTCCTTCTTCCCTAGTTTGTGACATTGAAGAATGCAACTTTTCAAAGGATTGATGGTTGCCACTTGAACACATCAAATTTACCGACAGTTTTTGCAATAGCATTCCTTTATATTTTAGTACGAAAATGTTCGGAAATTCTCAAAGCACGACCCAGAAGGAAATGCTACTACTTTTGAATAAAGGTTATAAGTACTTTAAAGTTGAAAATTTACCAGTATCTAAAAGTATCAGAATTTAGGGAATTTTTAAAAATATTCAAAAAATTGCAAATATGAGCATGTCTTTATTTAATTTGAGTACTAGTATTGAAATGCTGCTTATATAGGTAAAATAGAATTGTAAATTTTACAATTCACGGACAGTTTTAAGTCTTTTTTAAGGGGCAAACTCAAGTAGTACAGAAATGATGAAAACCTGTTGTGGAGATAAACACAGTGCAACATTAGAAAGTTCGACTGGAGAGATGTATTTCTTGTTTGAGACAGACAATACGGTAGGAGACACTGGTTTTGAGATCGAATACTGGTCTAATGGTATCACAACGACAACTACGACAACGACAGTGGCTCCTTCTACCGGTAAGTTAGTTAAATATGTTGCATTCTCTATACTAATAAGCAAAGTAAATGTATAACATATGTGATCAGGTTTTTAACAGACAGTTCAAACTAATCATGTGGTCTTTTATATCTTCTTGCATGAAGTTTTCGAATATTGTTATTCGGTTTCATTTTACATATACTTATATTCTTTATCCTTGATATATTAACCATATTTTAGTTCAGTAGTGATAATTATAAAAGTTTGTGGCCCAAATTGTGAAAAACCTAATTCTAGTGATTTTGAAAACCCTTTTTACTCATTTAACGTCGTTGTATAACATATTGGAGGTGTACTTCTTCGTTTAATATATTTAACACTTATCGAGTATACCTTAATGAAACGAAAATGTTGAACTCTTATCAGAGGTAAAGCTAATATGTTTTATCTTTCATATACACATTAATTATAATACATGTAGATCATCAATGTATTAATCAATCTATCTATTTATTCAAGGTAGGATTTCAAAACTTCTTTAATTGTGCCGAGTGAAGAAATGTTATACATGTACATGCATACAATGTATCACTGAAAAATATTACTATATTGTTATACGTGTTGACCAAAGAGAGACAACTTTGCAAATTTTAAACGCTACAGACTTTCATTTTACACAATGTTAACTGATTCATGAAATACCCAAGAAATTATATACATAAGATTGATGAATAATTTTAATCATCAGTTCAAAATACTAAAATGGTAGAAAATAAATGCCTGTAGAGTATCTCAGGAGAAATATTTCTTATCTTAAGCGTCTTTATCATAAAATATCCATATGACTTAAACGTGTGTATAAATAACATACATGTAATATGTAAAATCAGCATTAGTACACGGATGTTGCAAATGCCAATTAGGAATTAGGACATGCAAAATATTCAAATTCTGCAGAATTTACAATATAATAGACTACTTTGGATTGGTTTTTGTTGAAAATATGTGTGTTTAAGTATTTATGCATTTAACTACTAGATACTAGCACAGACAGCACTTACATTACAACAGTGCAGATTAGCAGCGCAGGTAAAACTACAAGCAGCGCAAGCAGCAGCGCTACATCTGATAAATCTGGTACATCTGGTATGTCAAAATAAAATGTTGTACTTGATTTTGCTGATGCTTTGGTCCGTTTGTTTTGTAGTGCAATGCTATGTTTTATTGTAAGCTTATCAACAATTGAATACCACTTCATTCTTCTTCTAATTCCATTATCTTTATTAACCCTGTGAATTCCCCAAATATTCGATGTTTAAATGCAACAAACTAGAATTATTTTAACAGTAAAACGCTAAAATAAATTAGTAAAATTATTACTAAAAAAAGGCTGAACGTCCCTTTTCTATCAACTTTAAGATACTAAAATGGAGATTGTCTGAAGGAAGCTGAATGTATATTAAAAATTGACGATGTCATTTGTATGTGTATGATGATATATTCAATCATATATTCACTTAATTTCTAGTTAGTAAATATGCTACTATTGGTAAATATAAAAATAGTTGCGTAGACACATTTTATACTAAAACATTTATAATTTACATTTTTTGAAATTGTTAAAATCAAATCAGTTGCAATCGGATTTTACAAATAAGTGTACAAAAAGTTTAAACACTTCATTATCAGAAATTAAATGTATATCTTTATCTCTCAATTCAAGCTTTGTATACACACTCCTTACACTTGTATGCTTGTAGACGCAAGTGTGATATCAACAATTCAGTCCTCATCACATGATCCTGAAGCTAATACTGTTAGCACTATTTTAGATCAAAATTTTCAAACAACTACTGGCAATTTTTCACAAACGTTGGGTATCTCCACAAGCCGGGCCAGTGGTACTATTACGGGAGGAGCATTCAGTACTGAAACACATAATCCAAATGATTATAGCAGCACTGCTTCATTGGACGGTTCCTCTACAATAATAAACAAAGAAACTATTGGTACGTGACAATTTGTTTTACGTTAATTACGTAAATTACATTTTTTTATAGAAGGCTTAAAAAAAAAGAATTTAATTATTGCGATGTGTTCTTCACTTTGAAAAAAAATAAACATTAAATAATGCATGAACATTTTTATTAAAGCAACACAATTTAAGGTCAATCAAAATAAAGAAAGAACCGCCCCTTTGTAGCTATGAAGCGAATATGAAGTTTTTTTTCATATTGAAATATGATCAGTATAAATTTTGTCAATCTACTATGGTCGTTCAGTTCAGTAAGGTAGTATTATGATAATATCCTTATGGTAGAAAAAATCTACATGTCAACTAACCAGACTTTCAGTAATATCAAATAATTACTTTACGCAGAAGAAAGTAAACGAAATTTTATCCATAAATATACAGATATATCATTAGTAAATGCAACCTATAAGCATAGCACTTCAAAATAAAACGAGCTATAGATTTTCTTTGTATGATTTATACTGCAGACCAAAACTCGAACAGCAGCGCAAGCGCTTTCACAAGCACAACAATTACTATTGCACAACATAACAGCGCTTCATCAAACACCACAACTTCTCCCTCCACAGTATCAGATGATGGAAAGGGTAATATTTATGTTGCTTTTGTTGTTGTTGTTGTTGTTTTATGTTACTATTCGTCTATTCGATTTTTGCATTGTAGGAATTTTTTCTTCGACTCTCTCTCTCTCTCTCTCTCTCTCTCTCTCTCTCTCTCTCACGCACACATTGAAATGTTTAAACTTTAAAGTAAATCTATTTTTTTACATTTATGTGATTAGAAATATTTATATGTATGCATCTTTCAATGATGACTTAATCGAATGTAAATAGCGATTAATTCATTTTTGGAATGCCTCTTTTCTGTTTCGTCATGTTACAATTCCCTCAAAGTTGCAGACGATATTTTGTAACAAGACATTTTCCTTAAGTCCGCAAATCGAGCCATTGAACTATATTATTCCGAGTATCGCCATCAAAATCACAACCACATACATTGAACAGGTGGTTGTAGACAACAATGGGTATGTTTGCCTCGTACAGTGTGTGTTTTTGCTCAACAGAACGAACGATGCACAACAATTCGCCAAATTGGTAGTTCACTATATCAGTCCCAAGAAGAATATTTTATAGTTAAAGTTATACTCAAATCGTGACCCTGTGGTTACACCATTTATTCTATAACTCCTTAGATCAACCGTAAGCCGTAAAATTTGAAACGAAAGATCTAAACATTATTTGATTAAACCTTAATTCCTTATATGACTTATTTTCATTATCCCAATTTTTCACCGGAATGTAGAAGCTAGCGTCTAAAATATGAAATGAAATGTTGAGGCCCTACGTTTCTTCTGACTAAATTTAACAGTAAAAATGATTTAATTAACATTTGTTTTACAACATGAGGAGGAAAGACACCAGTGCGGTAGGTATAATACACAGACAAACATGTTTCGAAGTAATTAATATAGGATCATTACTAGGTTTGAAAAGACCGATTACATCTTACCTGTCATTGTCAAATGGAACATATGACAGCTAATCTATAACGGTCATTGCAATGTATTTCATCGAATTAAACTTCATAACGTACATTTTTGTAGTTTTTAAAGTATATTGTCTTTGCAAAACATTATTTATCTATATTTTGTCACTTTCTGTACAATAAAACTTTACAGAAACATCTCATCTATTTTTTCTTTGATTATGCTAGAAAGTATCAAAGTAATCAGAATCGTTAATTTACATTTCAGACTATATGTTTGTCTGCAGATTTTAATGCTCAGTTGCGTGGTATTAAGTTGTTCCGTTGTCAGAACTACGCAATGTTAGCCATATTTGTCTGCTTTTTGTCAATGTTACCCTTTAGACGACAAAATAGCTCTGCACTATTTTTCTTAAAAAACAAAACCGCCATTTGAATGTTCAATGATGAAATATGTGCGTTCACTATAAACAGATATTCCAAAATATAATTATTTTATTTATTTTTTTAAATAATTCCATTTTGGCAAAGCTGTTCCCTATTTGATTTCTAAATTGAACTATAATGTTTAACAAAAATAGTGGAACAGAGACCATGCCCATCATGTTTTACTTTAAATTTTCTGAAAGCTATTTCAATACAGTTAAATGAATAGGTTAACTATTTATGAAGATTTTTTTGATAGCTTTCATTCAAATAAGGTTGTATCTTAAGGTAAAATAAAAATAGAAATTGACCCCCTGTTATCGATCATTGCCAAAAACGGACAGAACAAATAACTAAATATTAAAATCCTAACTTAGTAACGTGTACTTTAAACTGAAACATGCCTGTCACGTTTAAGAACGAATTACAAATTGATTGATAAATTTGTGCTAAACGATTCAAAGAAAATTGAATTCTGCAATAAAAGGTTATTCTGATTATTCCACAGATCTATTCAGATACATATCTCAATTCTAGCTTAGTCTGATAAACGATCAACTTTTCCATTTTAAACCACCATTGTATACTGTATACATGTATGTATAAGATAAACTAAGTTATCGTATATACTAATAAGCAAAGTTCATGTATACAATATGTGATCAGGGGTCGTGTCAACGAAGCTGTCTTAGGACTAGGACGTGTCTCCGGATGGTCTTAGGATACGTCTTAGTCCTAAATCAGGTTAACGAAAGTCTCCTAATATAAGATATGTCCTAAATTTGGTTCTAAAGTTAGGATATATTTATAGGTGTTTAAGGATGTTCCTTAAAGTTACGTTTTCCTAAGTCGAAATAAAAAGAACAACTATGGCCTTCTGTCAGATTTGAAGAATTTATCTTTTTGTAGATACTATCCCATGTCTTCTCTTTAATACTAATCGTCGCCACAGTTGATAGCTTGTTGAATAAAATGCCCCTACGCTTTTTTACTTCGGCGAGCAGAATTTAATAATAATAATATTCTCTTTTTCAACAGGATAATATATTTAGTCCAAGGACTAGTTTACAATAAATTTCATTCATTATATAC